GTCGGAGTTTGACCAAAAGCTTCTTGTTCATCCATTCAGGCCTCCTGGCTTTTTGCCTGCCTTCCTCTTTGTTGGGAAACATTGCTCCTGGGCTTGGAGGAGGGGCTCTTTAAATATTAACCAGCTTTCTTTGGTCCCTCTGCTCTCCGGGGTTTTATCCCATGTTATTCTACCAAGTAGAAACCTGAAGAGGCCGAAGTCTGCTCTCCTGAAGTCCAGGGTAGCAAGCTTGCTACGCACCCTGCTTGGACCCTAAGGATCCCAAACTCCACCATTTCATGGTCACTGAAGCCATGACTGCCTTCAAGCTTCACATTCCTTACCAGCCCTACCTCTATATATCCAGAATGGATATTAGTAGATGTAACTAAATGCTGAAAATCCAACCCATTAATTTCTTTCAGTTCTTCAAAGACAGAAACATTAACCAGAGATATATAGTGACATGAGTATACTGAAAAAAGTGCAAAAATCCTTCCTTTAGCTTAAAAAAAGTATGTAATGATTCTTTCTACTTAATATTTTCTAATTAATATTTAAGTTTTAAAATGTCAAAGTATTTTTACCTATTTTTTGAACATTTGTATTTTCTGAACCAATGTTGTGATACTTGCATGTTGCCTAGGTTTCTGTGACGCAGCTGTAGTGGTTTAAAACCAGTCAGGCAGCTCATTCACTCACTCCCCCCCTTCTTTCCCTCCCCCTACTCCCGGATGGATGGAGAGGAGAATCAAAAGAATTCAACTCACATGGGTTGAGATAAGAACAGTTTAGTAACTAAGGTATAACACAGATCACTGCTGCTACCACCGATGATAATAATGATAAAGGAAATAACAAGGGGAGAGAATACAGCACCTCACCACCTGCCGATCTATAACTCGCCCCCCCAGCCCAACCAACCAGAGACCAATACCTCCTCCAACCCTGCAGTCCCCCAGCTCTCCCAGTTACCTCCTGGGCATGATGTGCTGTGGTATAGAATGCCTCTTTGGTCAGTTTGGGTCAGGTGTCCTGTCTCTGCTTCCTCACGGCTTTCCCTCCTCCCTGGCGGAGCATGAGGCTCACGAAGTCCTTGGTTAGAGTAAACATCCGAGCAGTAACTAAAAACATTAGTGCTATCAGCGCTGTTCCCAGGCTGAAAGTCAAAAACACAGCACTGCACCGGCTACTAAGAAGGAGAAAAATTGACTGCTACTGCTGAACCAGGACAGCAGCCTAGACTGCATGACCAGTTTTACGTGCTGGAAGTTCCTGTTTCTCACTTGCTATGAGTGAGCCTAAGTGGAAGTCATTCTTGCACACTGCCTCATGCAGTATCTGGCAACTTAAAACTTTCTGAAATGCAGTAATTCTGTTTGTTATTTTTTACTTTCTAAACTCTAGGAAAAATAAAATATACTAGGGGATTATAAGTAGTGCCATGCTTTAATGGCACCTCCCACTTGAAAAAATATTCTAGCTCGCACATCTTTGTATGTGTTTTCAAATGCTACTTTTATCTTGCAAACAATTTTGATGGTTATTTCCACAATGTGTTTATGCCAAATACAGCAAAGTTTTCTTCATGTATTCTTTTCTTTTTTTTTTTTTTTCCACCAACACAATAAAATTGGAAGTGCAGGGTAAGACACAGTACAGAATTAGCTGCTGGCAGGACCTTTCCATTACAATGTAATGGGCTGGAGCCTCATAACTTGCTTTTATTTCTATTTACTCATTATAAACATGCAGATAAAGTGAGGTGAGTTTAGCAGTGCTACCACATTTGACTGAAATTTTCACACAAATCTGTGTGCAGGCTTGCTATTTACACACTTCTCTCTCTGTTCTTATAAGGAATATTTTGTGCTCTGATAAAGAATACTCACTGATATAGAACAGCTGCTGTCAAGTGTCAAATAAGAGCATGAGAAGAGGGTGAGGTAGAGGGGGAAAATGTTAGTAAAGATGACTGAGGTAGCCAGAGTCACTAGCTGCATTTCGTAATTAGAGATGGAAGATGAAAGCACAGCTACAGATCTGCAGGAAAGCAAAAGCCATCTCCATCTGATTTCAGTGGAGACCTGGGGGCTGTGTAAGACTGTAATGGGTAATGTCAGCTGTGCAGAAATCACTGATGCTAATATGATGGATGCTCCTGCTTGTGTTCAGGCAATCCTGCTTCTTCAGGAGTACCTCTGAGTACAGCTGGTCCTTGGGTGGAGGCTGTATCTCTGGCTGCATTATAGGGACTGGTGGCTGCCTCCTAGTGAGCATGTCCTTGAGTACTGACATTACTCTGCTGACTTATACCAGGACCAAGCAATAAGTGTTTAATGTGCTATTAATATTTAAAACCTCTGATGCTTCTTTATGAAAAGCAATGATCAGATTCAGATACCTTGGGTGCTGAGAGGACAGAGCTATGTTGTTTCTCACTCACATAAAATAACATCCAGAGATCCTGCTGTGGTGAAGCATTTAGCAGTGAGTCTTTTGCTACTGATTCAGGCCCTGCATCGTGTACTCCAGTGCTTGGCCACTTGTGTGAAATGGAAGGTGAGGAAAGTAGAGATCATCTTGCTTCTGCCCCCTTGCAGTGCACATCTCTAGCTGAGTAGCAAACCTGCAGTGTAATGTAACCTGCTCATGTAAGTTTGTGAATATAAAGGCATAATTTTGGAACTCAGATGGCTGCCACTTACTCATATTTTTCACTTGCAGACATCAAAACACCTCATTGTTTCAGAATTAGGGGAGGACACATGGAAATTTGTTCAGGGTTTATCTGGGACACCAGTGTTCTAAATTGTAGAGAAAAGAGCAGTTTGGTAGTGTTTGTAGAAATAACCTGTCCCTGTTTTGCCCAAGCCCTCCATCAGACAGCTGTCAGCGGAATTAATGAATATTTGTTTACATATGTTAAAAAAAATGGAAATCTATTTCTATAATTTTAATGTTGCAGCCACAAGGAGATATATAAAGAGAATAATGTGAATGTGTTCTATAATTCCACTCTGTTCTGTAATTGCTACTTACTTATGGATGCAAATTACAAAGAAGCATAATGAGAGCCATAGTTCTCCAATTTGTTTTATTTTAAACAGGCAAGCAAAAGCCAGAGACCAAGAAATAGTCCTGTTTTTCTGTATGATTCATTCCAGTTCAAAGCTCTGCATATTCGAGTTTACTGAAAACACAATTAACTGCCATAAGCTTTAAATCAGATGATTAAAAAAAAAAAAAAAAAAAGAAAGTAGAAATCTATGCATTCCACAGTTTTGAATCAGAAAGAAGGATTTTTTACATCAAGTAGTGAGGATGTCAATATGTTGGGTTCGGTGATCTGGGATGTAGTTCCCTCTATTTACCTTGCCAAGACCTTTGTAGTTCTACTCCCTGATACCTGGCAAAACAACTGAGAGATTTTAGGGTAGAGATGGTAGGGTCTTTTTTCCCTGTTCAGTATCTCCTGTGAAGGAGATGGAACAGATGGGAGAGCACTGTGGCAAAATCGAACATTTAGGTGAAATTGTCTTCTCTTAGTCTTTTCTTTCAGTGCATTCAGGCTCCACACACACAGTCCTAGCAAGAATGCAAAGTGGAGAGAGAGAAATAAACAGACAGACATGCAATTAGTTGGTGCATGCGGCTGAATGACCTGAAGAAATCAGGATAAGAACCTTTCCTTGAATCAGAATTCACCCCAGATGTTGTTCAGAATTAGCTGCATTTGCATTGGAAAATGTAAACAAGTTTTGTATTCTTTTTGCAGAGCAAAGTTTTTTCCAGTTAAAGTTGTTAAACAAATACTCTTGAGGATGCATCATGTCCAGATACAGTGGTATAATTACATTGTTGTTCTATTAAAGTAGAGCTAAACAAAGATAAAAACAGTCTTGAAATGAATTGAATATGGTTTTCTGATTCTGGTATGGAAAATGGAAAGAATAACAAATTATTGAACAAATTTTCTCCTGTCTGCTGTGCCATACCACTAATATATATAGCATGTTGTTTGGTAAAATCAAGACAATTTTGTCTGGTAAAGAAGGCTTTAATATCATAGAATCATAGAATAATTAGGATTGGAAGGGACCTTAAGATCATCTAATTCCACCCCTCCTACCATGGGCGGGGACACCACATGTTAAACCATGTCACCCAAGACTCCGTCCAAACTGGCCTTGAACACTGCCAGTGATGGAGCATTCACAACTTCCTTGGGCAACCCATTACAGTCCCTCACTGCCCTCACAATAAAGAGCTTCCTTATATTTAACCTGAACTTCTCCTATTTAAGTCTGAACCCGTTACCCCTTGTCCTGTCGCTATAGTCCCTAATGAAGAGTCCTTCTCTAGCATCCTTGTAGGCCCCCTTCAGATACCTGAAGGCTGCTATGAGGTCTCCATGCAGCCTTCTCTTCTCCAGGCTGAGCAGCCCCAACTTTCTCAGCCTGTTTTCATACAGGAGGTGCTCAAGCCCCCATCACCAAGCACCTTGTTGTTTTTCATGTGCCTTAGCATGCCTTCCAGGAGAATCTGCTCCAAGATTTTGACAGGCACAGAGGTGAGACTGACTGGTGTGTAGTTCCCCAGGTCATACATTTTCCCCTTCTTGAAAATGGGGGTTTTATTTCCCTTTTTCCAGTCGTCAGGATCTTCACCTGACTGCCATGATTTTTCAGATATGATGGACAGTGGCTTAACAACTTCATTCGCCAGCCACTTCAAGACCTCTGGATGGATTTCATCAGGTCCCATGGACTTATGCACCTTCAGGTTTTTAAGATGATCTCAGACCTGATGCTCTCCTACAGTGGTCCCAAGGTTTCAATTCTCAGAGATATATATGTATATATATACGTAAAAAAAATATACTGTGACCCAATAAAAAGCCCACAATGACTGGTATAGTTAATAATATGCTTGTAAGTTGATAATTCATGTTATTTCAACTCTGACTAAAATTTTCTTTATTTGGGTAAAAAACTTGATCTAATTATGATTTTTTTTAGGTGACTTCTGAAGAATCTGGAACCAAACCTCTGACCTTCACATTTGTACCATCCATTGGACGACTTCCAACTCATTGTGAGGTTGTGGATGTCTCTAAGTTCCTTGTGACAATTCCAGAGGAACCAAAGGATCTGAGCAATCAAGAAATTATAAATAAGGTAGATTTTTGTTTGTACTAATTTTTCCACCTTTTCAAAGGACATAGATGATTTTATTGTGAACATCATTGAACTGCTGCTCTTTCCCTTGAACTGTTCCTTGGCTTGTTCTTGATTTTAATTACCAAGCCTACCAGAGTTGGAGAATTGCTGTGCTGGGGAAGGCTGATACCTGCTCAATAGCTTGTTTCTCCTTTGGCAGAGTTTGTATTGGAAGGAAACCCTTGCCCATCTTGATACTCCCCTCTGTCAGTCATGCAAGACTATATTCTTGGCAGACAAACTGGAATTCCTTCCTGATCTTCATGGGAGCAAAGGTGGTGTGCAAGGAGTGTTATCACGAATTGACCAAGAAGTGGTCATGGGATCCTGGTTTTATCAAATTCCTGTGTTGTGGCTTCCAGCAAAGATGCCAATCCCTTTCATAGCTGCATAGTAGTGTGTAAAAGTGGAAGCTTCTTTTTTGTTTTTGGAAACTTATTCCCATGATTACTTATTACAGTGAAGCAACCAGCCCAAGACTGCTGGTACTCCTTGCTTTGGTAAGCCTACAGTGTTTGTTACTACTTTCTGCCTCCCAGTACTTAACAGTCTCTTGTTTTATTCCATGCTGCTTGAAAAGCAAATGCAGCCATCCGGTTAATATTAATGCTTATGGTGATTCTGCTTTTGTAGAACAGCTCCTTCTCTAAGACATTGTTGGTGCTGCAGTTCTCGATGCTCTTCTGTGTCATAAACTTTTCACAGGAGTTCCTAGACTTCTGACCTGAATATGCTTCAGCATTTTGAGTGTCCTGTATGTTTAAAAACAGATTAGGTCTGGGAAGAGAATGGATGCACTTGAAGAGACATGCATTGCAATATTATCCTCAGGATTTTTAACTTATTAGTTACATTTCCTGCAACTCAATATTGGTTTTGCTGTAAGTAACACCCTGGGTAAAGCAGAGTCAGGTTTTCTTCACATCTGTTTCCCTGTGTTTCACTGTAGGCAGAGAAAACTTTCCTGGCAAGTGAGCAGTAGTGAGCTTTCATAACATAGCTTATTCCTTCTAAAATGTCTAGAATCTGAACAATATTTTAAAAACCAAACCAAACCAACATCAGATGATGAAAATAGCACCTCCATAGTCATTTCCTCCATTATAGTCCAATATTTTTTCAAGAACTGAGCTCCAGGAACTCATGGAACTGCAAGTGAAGTTGAAATTTGTAATTACTATAGTCCTCCACCTGGATTAAAAAGTGAGCCCCATCTACAGTCTTTCTCTCACAGTCTACAATATTCCTATCTTTTCACCTGATTCCTGCTGCAAGAGAAATATGACTTACCTTAGCAGTTTCAATACGGAATGATTTTGTGGTGTGTCACATGCCCAGCTTGCACTACTCCCACTCTCATCCAAAGCATGCTTGAGAAGTTTCACAATGGGAGTGGAAATTGCAGAAAATGCGAAGAACAATTGTAGCCTGTGCTGACAAGCTTGAAGATACAGTAAAGTTCTCTGACCTCAGATTCTTTGTCTTCTGTCTTCAGAGGATGCCCTGGTACAAAGGCCTTTGTTTCTTCATTAATATGTAAAAGCTTTGTCCCAGATTTTTCTGTCAGACTCCTCTGAGGAGCATTGTCTGCTCCCATGGATCCCACGGTTGGGATGCCTTCCCATCGTGTCTAGCATAGTCTGCTCTGAGAACTCATTTAGCTTGACTGCACCCTCCTTTTCAGTTTCTGCACTGGCCCCAGGCTTGGGCCACTGCTGTATTCAGAGTCCGCTGTTGCTCTGTGAGATGCTGGGAAAGAAGCCCTGCAACATTGGCTGGGGAGCTGGAAGTGGGGGGCTCCCTGGGCAGATTGTTTCTTCTGGGTGTTGATGCCCAAATTTCGTTTCCCTCTGCACCTTTAGTAGTGCACTGCCAGCCACCACTGCACGTCAAAACTACTTTGCATTTTGGGAACCACAAATAAAATGCAGCTAATTGGGATTTTTTTCCTTGTACCTTTTGCAGTCTAATGCAGTCTCTGATGAACTGGCCTTAAAGAGTGGGGCCAGACAAGATTGTGCGTCGGCCATTCATACAGACAACATCCGAACAGTTTTCCAGTCCCCGGGGTGTAATTTGAGCAAAGGAGAAATGCAAGAGAATGACCTTTTTAAGGCTGAGTTTATCCTGATTACGGACTCCGGTGAAGAAGATGAAGTAGCTGCTGCTTCGAGCAACGCACTTCGACCTTCCAATGGCTATGGTGCCATCAGCGCTCAGGTGCTGGCCACATCCCATATTTCTCCTGGAACTGGGGCAGGAAAACCTCCTGGAGATGGGCACGTTCCAGGTGCTGCACTTTCCCACAGCACTGCTGATCCACAAAAACATCAGGTAACCTGTTCTTTACAGAACTAACCTTTGCTTACTAAAGCTTTCAGGACATGGACACCGAGTCACTTTGTAAAGCAGCTTGGCCAATTTATTTTTTAATTAGCATTTTTGTTGGCCATTCCTGTCACGTTTGGACTCTAAGGTATTTTCCCAGCCTTTCTTACTTGCTTCCTCTCTCCATGGCTTTGGTGTACACATGGAACAGGTAATGCAGACCCTTTGTTCTTTCCTCTAAGAGCAGCTTATCTCACATCAAGTTAATCAGAAGATTTTAGATTCCTAGCTAGTCTAAATGGACTGAAATCAGTGGAGCCTGTAGATTATTTGAATTAGTGGCATCAGACTTCCCAGGCCCAGTGCTTGTTGTCAGCATCTGATGCAAGTCTTTATGGTAAAGAGGCTGCAAAAAAAGAATAATCCGTTATTCTGATTGTTAGTTAGCACTGAATTTACACAAGTGTAAAGAACTAATGAATAACGGCCCTTTTTATGCTGATGTTTTTAGGGTACATTTATTGATTTGTTTAAATTTTAAGTTGTCACTGGGAGAATTCAAAAAAGGTCTTTAAAATGTTTCATTTTCAAAATGCATCAATACAATTTGCTGCATGAAAAGTTAATGTTTCCCATCTTGGAAATAACATGGGTGGTTTTCAAGGTTTTTCAAGGTTTCGATGGATGGTTTTCAAGGCTGTATATGCAGAGGAAATCTCTGCCTTTAGAAAAATTGCAATATCCTTCATACATGGAATAAATTCAGACTTTTTTTTTGACCTTGACAGGCTTTTCATCATTTGAAAATGCAATTCTTCATTGATACTTCAAAAAAAAAAAAAAAAAAGACTTAAGCGTGGCTACTTTGTCTCTGAAAATGAATAGGACTTCCTATCTTGTGTTGATATATTTGTGGTACTCAAATTTTCATCAAATTCAGTGTGAATTTTAGATTGAGGGAATTGTGAATAATAAGTCCACTCTGGTTTTGGATTCATACCATCATGAAATGTCCATTTCTTCCTAAAAACTCCCAGTGAAGTCAGTGGAATTTTACCTGAGGAAGGTATAAGGGCACAGATAAATCCATGTAGAGGAAACAGCCTGTAAAGGAATAACCGTCCTTGGGAAATACAAATTTATTTCATCAATGTTCAGTGTACAGATTCTGCCAGGCTTATGCGGGTGGTTTCTTGGGTGGACTTTTTGTAAGACTATACACAAAAAAATAATATCCTATAGGTTTTTTAAGCATTCTTTCTCAAGCCTCCAGAGATTTTGTCAAGTTTTCCACAGTCTCCAGTGCTTCTTTTTGACTTTCTGGTTCTCAGGTCACAGGCTTGGTAGGGGATATTTTTTGTCCTATTATCAAATTCTACTGAGATCAAAGCATGGCTAACTAGCCTCAGGACAAGGTCTACATTGAATCAATTGTGCTCTCAGATACGAGTTTTGCCTTTTTGCCCCTCAGGTTGTCACACTCTCCCTTTTCCTTTTTGACCTGCACATGTCTCAGGACCTTGTTCGGATAAGTAACCACATTTTTTTGTGCCCTTCTGAAGCAATGTGATCTCATGAGACCACTTGCCTTGTACCCAGCTCAGCTCTGCCACTTCAAATGTGCCAAAGATCTCCTGGGCAAGGCTCAATACTTGAACTATGACCTCTTTTATATTTCTGGGATCATCATCCATGAAGTATGAAGATCTTTTTCAAGTTCCCTGATCCCTTTGTCCTAAGGTAATATCGACACCTATTTCAACGTTCTTCATACATTTTCAGGAAATGCATATCTCTGGTGAGTCTAGGAAGAGAAAAAGACTTGCAGTTGAATCACAGACCAAAGAAACGCAAGTCTACTTCGGTGATTCACCCACTCTGCACTAATGCAATACAACTACAGAAATGTTTTAAACCAGCAGAGAAACTGAACAGAAAAAGAAAAAAAGGGCAAAACAAATTCCACTGATCAAGTCATTATATCTCACTTATTGGCACTGGTGAGGCTGCACCTGTGAAACCATGTTCAGTTTCGTGGCCAGTCGACCCCAAATTCAAGAGACATGAAGAAGGGAATGGGGATCCATCACAAAGCTGTAAAAGTGGCAGGGGCATATATGAGCTGGAACTGAGAGAGCTGGCTTGGTTGATTTCTACCAAGAGGCAGCCAAGGAGGCATCTTGAAACAGCCCACAACTACTTGTAGGGCAGTTACAGAGATGGCAGAACCAAAATCCTCTCTGCAGTGGCACATGAGACAGCAATGTCTGTAACGTGAAGCATGGTAGGTCTGGTCCCAGCTGGACATGTGGAGAATCCTCCTCACTGGGAGGTGGTGAAGCAGTGATGCAGGCTGCCCAGGGGTGCTGGAGCCATCTCTCCATTAAGGGTTTAGGTACTTGATGAGATGCAGCCACAGCTGACCTGACCTGCTGGTGCTGGTGACAGCCCTGCTCTGAGTAGGAGGCTGGACTAGAAGTCACTTCCAAACAACTTTGATTATGATTCTCTGATCTTGTAAATAAGAGAGTGATCATCTATAGATGTAGTTAATACTGTAATACAACAGCAGAATCTTTTCAGAAGACTTGAATAATGGCTTAATTATCTCAGGATGTAAATGTTCAATGATGTTCAAACTGCTGCAAAATGTCTTTATCATACTCACAGGAGCAAATTCATCATCTGCTACCATGAATATTTTCCTAGCTGTTTATAAATCTTTCTTATTAATTTTTAATTAATTAGAAGTCATTGCACATCCTGCTTGTTAATTATGCAGTTTCATATTAGTTCCTTATTTTCTTTTAATCCATTTTCTTTGTAAGGAAAATTTATCTATTTTATTTTGGAATAAAGATTTCATTCCCCTGTTCTGCTTTGTTAGTTGACCAACATCTAGAACTCACTATTAGATTCAGGAGGCTACTCCAGTTTACCAGTCAGATGTATTACCATGCTGCTTTTTAACTTATTAAATAATTTTATGTTTTGTGACATATTTAAGAATATTTCTTCAGAATGATTAAATGTTGATAAATTAGTCTCACTTTCCAATATTTTTTCTTATTCTTAATTAGCATCTTTTTAAAATAGGGCTACAATTTCTTAATCCAATAGAATTTATGATACAATATCATTGATATTCATTTTCATATTCTGATATTTGCCCTGTATATATCTGTTGGGTTTCGGCTTCAAAATGGGACACCTTAATGCATGTATAAAATAAGGGCAAATCAGTGTGGTTATAAAGGCATTCTGATTGTTGGCTTTTATTTCTATAAATCAGGGATAGCTTCAGCTTTTCTGACATTGTCTTATAGTATCTTCAGTTTACAATGCTTTATAGAGTATCATTTAGCAGGGAGAGCTCACTTATTTTAAGTTATAAGGCCTAATATGGTTCTGATCTGAATATATAGACCATATTTAGCCTTTTACATATAGGTTAGCTGATAAAAGTGTCAAGTCTTGCTCTTCTATTAGAGATTCTTCTAACATCTTCCTCTCACTTTAAAACTATTATTTGATTTGTTCTACTTTTTTTTGGTGATATATCAATACTATGTGACATAAAAATAATAACCATAATCATCATAATAATTCCTTTCATTTATGGGAAAGATATCTGTATTAAAAAAATATAATTCATAAGCTGAGCCACCGTATTGCACAAGTCATGTCTGTAGAAACTAAATGATATAAGTGTTTGTTATAAAATTGCATAACATTTTCACAGTATCAAACAGTAAATAAATAGGTGTGTTTATATTTATATGAAGTTTGTAGGGATTAGAGTAAATGTCCTTTCTTTCAAAATGCTCAGTCGAAAGTTAGGTGATAATTTCTAACCTTTTGTTTTTACAGTTGACTTAGCTTACTATTTCATACTGATATGTTATATTCATATTGTGCATACCCCAGTTTTTAATATCAGCATTATGAGAACTTGGAAGATTTTGAGAGAATTTCTTTCTTTAGAAGCATAAAACTGTAGAAACAGTTGATAATATACTTGTACACTCTAATTAGTTTTGACAAATCCTAATTAGAATAGACCTAAGAAAAAAGGCACCCATGAAAGAGCTCATTGCTCTTATTGTTTTATTAGTGTATTGTAAGACTGTGGAGAAGGGGATAAGGACTCTTATGTGCCTGAAAACTGTCAAATGAAATGCTCTGTGATTGACAAGAAAAGTGAAAAACAAACTGGATGTCTGATTTAAGTAGTTCTGAGCAAATTTCTTGTTCTGATATCACAGTGCTTCAGAAGGTGTTATTTACTGAGTAAGAAAATGAATGCTTGACTTGAATCTCATTTACAGAAAGGCTAATTTCCACTGAACTGGTTAAGTGAGATGGGACAATATTGCATTTTTCTTTCTGTTGTAATTATATAATGTGAATAGTTATCACATGATTCTGGACACTGATGATACAACTGTCTTAGGTTTTACCTGAAATGAAAAATACAGTAGTCTTGAAACTTGTTTATGCCAAGAAAACTGAGGTCTGAATAAAATAGCACACAACTTGTCTGTCACCTTCCCTGAGAGCTTTATCCATCAGGCTATATCCCTGAATTGAAGGCAGCCCTGTGCTTTTAACCCACAGAGCAGTACTAATGAAAACACTATATGCATGACACCAGGACTGAAATGTGGGGTGCTTAATAGTTCCCAGGTTTCACCTATTTTAACATTTTTGTTTTTCTTTTTTCTCCAGTTAATTTCTACTCTTTTCATCTCTGATCATCTTTCCTCTAAACCACCTGCTGTCCACTTAATTTCTCCAATTAACCAGAAAGTAGCGTGTGATGCCAAGGCTAACTTGAATCAAGCCTCCTCGTTGGAAGACTCCCGTAACAACTGGCAGCCAGCAACTGGGTTTTCTAAACAAGATTCATCTCTGTACTTTCAGTCTGCTTGTGCTCCCCATAGTTCACCTCCTTCTGTGTCTAAAATATCCTCTTCTGCATCAGGCAGTTGTTACTCCACTACTCAACTGTACGATAACCTACAAACATCAAGTCTCTTTACCTCTGGCTGTGTTTGCAAAATGGGAGGCTTCACCACATCCTCTGTTCCAGTAAAGAGTCCAAGTCTTTCCCCTAGTCCTTCACGTTCATCTGAAATTCAAGGATCTTCAGCTCAGTCTTTATCCCCCAGTTCTTCCAAAAGATTGAATGCTTTATCTCCTGTCCCTGTACATATAATAACACATTCATTATGTCCTAGCCCTAAACCTTTGTCTCCACCCTCTCTTTATGGCTCCTCTTCTACCATATGTAGCATAAATGAGCCTTTCACACCAATGTCATCTAGAGGAAATTTAGCAAAATCAAGAGCCAGATCCCCTCTGCCAACCAGACTGACCCTTTTAACTGCTATTTTAAGATCAGGCTCTTCCCAGCGAAGACCAGTTTCTCCTGCTTCTTGTCCCACATTTTCTCCTAGCCCCCTTAGTTCTTCAATGTTTGCAATAGATCAAAAGTCCAAAACGACTTCTCCAACCCCCAAGAAATCTGTTTCAAGCCCTCCTATAAGGCCAGATTTTCCCAGTAGAGAGGAACATTGGCTTTCAGGGTGGGCTCAGCATCAGTCTTTACCCTCCAAGCCTCATCCCACCCCTCAGGCAGGGTCCCTTTCTCCTAAAAACCATGTTCCAGGCAGAACACTTTCTCCGGATTCCCAAAGTCCTTTGTCATCTCCCGTCTTCTCCCTTAGAAAATCAGATGCCTCTCCAGGTTTGCAGTCCACACTGCCTCCTCCTCATCCCCCAGCACCCTCTTCCCATGCACACTCTACCTCTCCTTCCCCAGGAGGGGTGCAGCATGCTGCTTCCGGGTCCTGGAGACCTCAGAAGTCTCAGAGGGTACACACTTACTCACCCATTTTTACCTGCCGGTCATATCCTTTGCTTTCTTCTACCAGTCTTAGTGGTGTATTCTCCCCCACCCGAGAAAAACACACATCTCCTTCCCCAAGTACTTTGTATCCAGCTTCTAGACTTAAATCAGATTCACCCCAAATGTCTGTTCAGGAGATAAGTGTCTCCTCTCCTACCCCTTCAAGCACCTCAGAGCAGTGTTCTCTCTCACGAACTCATTCTACTTCATCGGTTCCACAAACCGGTAATTTTAATTCTTATCCACAGCAACTTAATTCTTCACTGGTGTACACAAGTTATAGGTCTAATTCATCCTCTCCAAGACCTGAGCAGTCTGCCACCTCACCTGTGTTAAAGTGCAGATCTCCTGTCTCAGACAAGTCATCAGGCACACTACCATCAAGACCCAGAGAGCCGACTTCACCACAGTCTTTTTCCCTGTCTCCTGATCATGAAAACATCAAACCCAAGGTACTCTTAGTGCATGCTTATTTTCTAATAGTTTGTCCCTGTAGGAAAAATCATATCCATGTTGCACAAGGCTAGTAAAATAAATGACCTGCTTAAGAAAAATGTTTGAAAAGGAACCGATTTTGTATTGATAGTGAAGATATCGAAGACCAAATCCTACTATATCAAATTGCTAGCAATGTGTTCTATATTACGGGGAAGATTTTGTAGGAACCCTTTAGCATAAAAATCAAATACTTTATTCATGAGTGGGAGAAAACAGTGCTGAAACTGGGTTAGTGTCCAGAGGCCCTGATATACATTTGGCACATTTATATTTGAAGCTCACATGAAACACTAGTGTGTCAAAAATAAACATAAACCACGTTCTATGCACCTATGTTAATGTAAATCCATATGTATTCCCACTGAAAGGAATAGAAATCTGGTGATTTTAGGTGCAGGGCTGAGCTAGAAGCAGTCTAATCTGATTGATGTGAACTGGCTGTTTCAGTGACAGCTGATTCCCAAGCACCGTGTCCCGCCTGTCCTCCCCACACCCCAGGAGCCTGCACTCACCAGTCCAAAGGCACAGCAGAGCCCAGCCTGAGTAGGGACTTTGTGGCCAAGAGCCAGAAAGGGAGGACAAGGACAGTCTTTTGCTTCTTCCCTTGCGTTTGTACTTTGATCTTGTTGTGCTAGACAGGACATGAAGAAAAAAAACCCCAGCCAAACAACAATCTTCCTACAACATGAGCTACTGCAAATATGAAAGTCTCACACTCAATGGATCAGCCACACTCCCGCTGTTTGTCCTCCAGCAGTGGAGTGAGAATAAGCAACAACAGTGATTTCTGCAGGAGGGCTTGGGAACCAGTCACACTTTAAACCTGAGGATGTCTCAAGAATGGGAAGGGGGAGGAAAGGAAAGCTGATCAAAAAACATGCAACAGGTAGGTGAAAACAAAAGGAACTGCTATGCAAAATGAAGAGTGAGAAGACATCAGAGATGTAGAAGGCTTTTCCAGCCTCTTTTATCTTATCTCTGCATTGTGCTTCCTTTGTGCCTCATTTTGCTCATATCTGAGCTCTGCCCGTCACTGAAAGTCTATTACAGTTTATTGATGTATTTGTTCACAGCACAAAATTACAGCCTGGTTTTCCAGGTCAAGTTGTGTCAGATATGTTCCTAACAGCTTGGCCATGGCAGGGTGACTTGAACTGCTTGGAAAATGTTAATTGAAAATGATTTAGATCAGCACAAAGTAGCAATTGTCATGAATAGTTCTTTTAAAAATCAAACAACCCAAGAGGAACTGTTGTGCCAAGCACAGCTGTACAGTGTCGCTACACCCTGTCAGTACTACTTAATGAATCAAAAAGACAAATGAAATTGTAGAAATTCCAAGAAAAAAGCCCCGGGACAAAACTGAAAGGCATGACTGAGCCTGCAGTTTGCAAAGCGGTTGCGGTTTCTGCTAGTCAGTGTAATGAGCAATGTGAGAGTCTCTGGCATAAGGAAAGTCTCTGCTTGTGACACAGAGCTATTGCACAGGTTTATATTTGCAGAGGTTATTTCTCCCTTTCTGATTTCCCTACTGTCCTTTTCCTGTTAATCCTGCTTTATCATGTAATATGGTGGCACTTTTGAAACTGCCCCAGAACCACATGAGACACGGAGTGTCCATCAGTTTAACAGACTTGGACTGTTAGCTGGGTGCAATTTTTAATCATGCCAAAGAAGCTGGCTCCACCAGGGATGTGGAAGATCTGAAATCTGTAAATCAAATGCAGCTGGGTGTTCAGTGCAGGAAAGCTCTCTTGTGGCTTTAAAATGTGAGGCTGAGATTTCATTTACAGTTAATAATAGTGTGCATTCAACACCCACCTTTCCTCCTGCTCTCATTTATTTTCATATCTAGTTTATGGCATAGCACAATGAGCTTTACTGATTTGTTAATGGCACCAAGGTCTTTAAAAACTTTACAGCCTCAAATCGCAGTATATTTCCACTAAAAAAAAAAAAAAAGAAAAGGTTGAGGAGACATAACATTTAAATCCTAAGCAGCATTTAGGTCTCTTTAGTGCCAATCAACTCAACTTCAGAACTAGACAAAAAGCAAGTTGCTTCATCTGATGACTGCCGATGCATGACAAAATTTTTTCATGTATGAATTTGCTAAGTGAATATCAAGGGAAAAGCACAACATCTACAAGTGCTTGACTTACTTTGGCATGTGTAATTTATCTACCTTAATGTTGCTTCAACAGTGGTTGATGTTGAGACATCTATTAAACCAAGACCTATCAAACCAGAATTTTTGATATTAGATGTACTTTTCAGTATTTACATCAAACTGTTTTATTAGCATGATATCAAAGCAATTATGAAATACGGAGAGCTTTTAAATATCTATGTCTATGCATGCATTGATTTATGCAAATCAAAGAATAACCAATAAACTTCTTTAACTGTTTGCATTTATATATATAGACTTGTGCTTTCCCATGCTTTATATATTTGTGATCACCAGTGATTTCAAAATATGACTGCTTTGCAAAGTGAATGTAAACATAATCCACAGATCAGTGTGAACTTTGAGTGATCAAAGGTAATAAAAACCCGTCTTCCCAGACTTTGCAGACACATTAATAGTGTCCTCATGGACCTAATATTGAAAAATTAACAGTAGGATGGAGTGGAAACACATAAAATTGCTGATTCCGCAGGAACAGATTAGAATAAAAACTTCTGGCTGTTGTTTGAAAGCTCTTTGCAGTGGTTTCATGAGGTATCATTTCTACATATTCTTTGATTTTTCCTATTTGAATGTAGCACAGGAATGCATGTAGGTCTACCCAAAACAGCTGGGGAACAAATTAACTGTAACATGGAGCTCAGCACAGCTGCAAAACCTACCACAAAGCAGGAAAGATTACTCCTGAAGAGCTCTGCACTACCATGGTTAGTTGCTGATTTTAAGGCTTTATAGGTACGTGTCTAGCACACTTTGCAGTGCCCTTTGGGTGCCCTGGGTGATCATTTGAGCAAGAAAAGTAGGGCACTTTTCTCAAAGATCCACAGGCTGATATTTGCTTGAGCTTTGATGTTGGACTAGGTTTGCTTCTGACTGGACCATGGTACAAGCCAGCAGACCTAACTCTCCATGGCTGTTTAAAAATACTGCTAGATTCCTGTGAACCAGTATGTATGACAGTACAACCACTTCAAAATGGTCACATATTCTCATCATATATGATGCCTATCTCATCATATGTAAAAGCCTGTGGGCTAGTAAGTATGTCGCATTTCATTTACATGTGCGATTATATAAATTTATTGATTGAATATCAATTATAAGAAAACAAGGATACATTTTGTGGATATGGCAATTCTAATGCTTGGAGTTTTGGTCTTCCATCTTACTTCAACGAACAGTATTTTATATCTTATCTACATATAGATTTTGTACACATATATATATGAGTATACACATAAAAGAGTGTTGCTGTCTACATGTTCAAAGGGTAGGATACAACTCACTTGACTTTTGGTATCTGAAAGTTAAATGTCTGAGCACAACTTGGGCAATTCTCCTATAGTTAATGGAAAGAATATGGTGTCTTTAAAGGATGATTTTATTTTAGCTTGATAGATGCTAATTTTGGGATGGACGAATTATCCTGTAAAGAATCCTAGCTCTTAAACTCATGTAATATAGAAGAATCTTATCAATAATTTTAAAACTACTGAATTAAGCCTCTGTAACTAAAAAGGAAAAATAGGAAGTATGGTTTCTAAAGAGTAAAAAATAACTGGTGAGCTAAAACAGTCTAACATATAAATTGTTTTAAAATAATAACTCTTAAGGTTAATCTTAGAATTTTTATATGAAAACCCATACATTTTATATGATTTAGATTGCCAGTCCCATATGCTTGTTTAGAATATGAAAGTTCCTACAGTTACTTTGAAGTATTTGTTTGGGTGGTAGAGTTACTTATGCAGGAGATGAAAAGCTGTGACATGACTTAAATTACCTATCCACTCATACAAGTAATTCAGCATTTAAAGAGCCTAATCAGTCTCATTAAAGCAAATCGCAGAAATCCCTCTGACTTAGTGGTCCATGATAAGATCGCATAGCAGCACTTGTTGAAGTGCACGCACTTGCAGAAGTAGCTGTGCATCATCATATCAAATCACAAGCAAACTTGGAAAAACTTCACAGCCTCTCCAGATATTCATTTAAGGATAGTAGTTAGCAGAAAGTAGTCAAAATCACTTTGGAAGTTATAAGCTGGTACATTTACTTTGCCTTACTAAAAGCAAAAGATGTCCATTACAGTCCTTTAAGATCTTAACAGAAGCACTAGATGTTAAGAAATAGCTTTCCTAGGTAATATGTAAGCATTGTATTGTTGCTACATGTCTGGAAGACAATTGGAACCATCTTCCTGTCACACCTTTCCCCTCTCTTCCCACAATCCCTCTCTTCCTCTTCTACCCTGTTTTACTTCTCTTCCTCCTTTCTGGTTTACCCTTTTAGCAATACAAGATCAAGACAATCTACAAGGCATTTGCAGCAATCCCTACAAACACATTACTTATGGAACAGAAGGTTAGTGTTTACTCAAAGACATGGGAATTGTGTTGTGTATTTGACACCAGTCAACTTTATGTACATATTATGACATTTCTTTGGGGGATATTGCAGAGTATAAACACGGGGAACTAACTGCTCAGGGTTATAAATCTAACCATTTTTCAGGGTCACTTTCCACTGAAGATCAAAGCCTTCACTAATGTGAATTTCTGCAAGTAAGTTTACTGTAAAAAAAAAAAGAAAAAAAAAAAGGAATTGACATTCTGAAGGAATTGCCATTTACGGCAACATCTTGAAGCCTGTTTTATTACTGGAAAGTGTCTGGAGCTCTGATATTCTGGGACATACCAATCAGTAGGTCTCTGTCACTGATTATTCAAAAACTATGTTTATACTAGTAAATTTTATATCCCAAGATACACAAATTTGATCAGCTGTATTGTTAAACTGTGGGAACAGTCTTGGACATTGCACTGGCCTCTACCTACCATTCTCTCAGACAACCTCCCTGAGCACTTCAACATTTACCATGGGCCAGAGGTCTGTCCCCAGGATATAGTTTGGGGTAAAAATCCTTTTCTGTAAGGTATGATGATAGATAAAAAGAAGTCTTTAGTGCATTTATTTACAGCCAGAGACACATCCAACAAAGGTTGAGTTGCATAGACTTTATTTAGATAATGCAACTTTGGAAGTAAATTAAAAATTTATATTTTGTGTGAAAAGGCCAAAGTACCTACCAATGTCTAGTTTTATTCCAACTCGCCGCAATTAGTTTTGCACAAAAGAATAAAATCACAGAATGGTTTGTGTTGGAATAGCCCACTAAGTTGAACAAAATTTTTCTGTGACGAGCAATGAGCTAAATGTCTTACATGTTTAAATACATGCTTAATCACTTTGACATCCAGTTTATAGCTTTATCAGGAAAAAAACAGATTTCTGTCCAGGGCCTAGTTCAGGAACCTAGCCTTTGATTAATTTCTGAAAGATTAAGCATTCCCAACTACATCTTCAAATATGTATTCATTTATACAGCTCAGCTAATTTCACTAGAAGTTTTCAGAGACTAAAAACTTTGGAGAGGATGAACTTAACTATAAGAATTTTGAAGATCATAATTTTGTCCTTATATATTACTGATTGTGATCTAATAGTTATCAGTTAACTGCTTTAAATATTTTTTTTTTCTAAAAAAGGGACATTCAATGATTTTCCCTTGTTTTTTTTTAATCTTAAATGATTTTTTAATCATTTACGCAATACCTGATTCTTGTGTTACTTAAATCTGGAATGCACTAATGAATGTTATGTCTGCTTTAACATGCAATATGTTCTAATAGGAATGGCTCTGTATAGGAAAATAGCTAATGCAGGGGATCCTACACCCCTACAGAATGTGTTTTGGGCGGGTTTTGTTTGGACAGAGTGCCTGTTAGTGGCTGGAAGCATTTGGTTAACTCATGGTTGTTTTAATCTGAAAGGCATCCAGTTTGTGCACTCCACCACTCTGTACACTAAGCCAGGTAGGTGAATAAGAGCAGGGTATTCACTCTAAGAGCACGCTCCTGACATAAACTGGTGGGTTAGAATCAGCCATCTGATTGTACTTTTTCAGAAGAAAAGGGATTCCTTTTCATGATCTCATTGATGATTTCTGGGGCATTGACTCACAATCAGCATGTTACTTATCCCCAGTACGTAAAACTGAATAGTACATCTAATGCCAGTATCTGTGGAAAAAGTAATGACTCAAAAGGCATCCGTGTTTAGACAGACTTTTGGTTATTCACCACTTTATTGGAAATGCTAGCCTTGGCATAGCCCTAAGTAGCAAAAGCACAGTCATGTAAAACTAATAAGAAATCAATTTTCTGCCACAGGATTTGCCTCCAGGAGAGGCTCTTGACTAATTTAGTTTGTAAACTGTATGTTTCAGCATGGCCTGACTACATGCTTTCTGTTATCTTGGGAATTATGGATAATAATCTCGTATTGATCTGTTCCAGCAGCAAATTACAGTGCTCCTAAATTGGTTCTGCTGTGCTAGCTGACATGCATTTAGAGGACTAGTCTTAAAGGAAGCATGAAGGAGTCACACACAGACCACATTGCACCAATCTGTAATATCCAAGTTTTCTCCTCAAAAATACTGGGGAGTGAAGTGGGAAGGAACTCATGCTACTTTGTAGCTCAATGACATAAATAATATTGCTCTCATTTTATGCAAAGCATTTTATGCACTGGATAAAAAAAGAGAGAGACATTTTAACTTTTAGAGTAAGATTTTAACAACAAAAGTGATGTTTTATGAACATTAAGATCATGGTTGTAAGGAGAAGTTTTCTAGTGTTTTTTTTTAGCAAGCAAGAAAGACACATAAGAGCTGCACGGCACACACAGATATTACTGAGCTGAATGCATGATTAGAAGTACATCATCTGCCTAAAGTGCTAAAAAAGCGGTTTGCTGTGCAATGAAACTAGAAATGCATATTGTCATAAGTTAACATTTTTGACTGTGTGAATATTTATATTACTTATTTTGAGTGGTGAGAAGACACATCGGATGTGGGTATTCTAGTGACAATTCATATGCAGTATTAATTAGATCCAACGATAGAAACCTGACATTGATATGTAAGTTACAATGCTTTGTCTGCCTCTAAATGGTCTCCTTGTGTCTTTTTTTGTCAAGTATTTTTTTATTTATTTTATAAGTGTGTAGTTGCTTTAATTTCAGCCAGCATTTTTCATCATCATATGAAACCATTAGGCTATCATCATCTTAATGGTTTTTCTAGAGGTGTTCTTATCCTCCAGTACTCTTACTTCAAGAAAGTTTTTCAAATCTGTGCTCATTAGCAGAAAAGAAAAGGCTTATAGACTATATGTGTGTATACTTTGCCAAGCCTAGAAGTGGCTTAATTTCACCAAATCTTGTAACTGGCACGCTTTCCAGCTGTTTGAGTTTGTACTAATGTGATGTTCTTCAGATCACCTGTGCTCTGCTCAGAAAAAGGCCAATCCAGGATATCCTTTAGATGATCAGGCAGTAACTTCCTTTGAAGGCAGAAGAGGAAAAACTGGTGGTTTAAGGAAGGTGTGTTCAGCGTGATCAGGCTCTGTAAGGCCTGCAAGAGCAGGCTGCTCCACAAGGAAGGTAAACTGGGAGCCAGGGTGACAGTAAGACTGGCAGGACAGTTGTCCTCACCAGCAAGGGTATAGTTCCACAGTGCCTGAGCAAGGAGAGCAAAGATGATGATAATGAGGTGGTGGTAACCACGGTCTCTCAGCAGTGCCATCATAGCCATACAGATTTGTAGCAATGGAGAGGATGCACAGGCTGTGATAATGAACCCTTCAGCCCTGCAGATGATAGGATCCACCTGCTAGAAGAGGAAGCTGGACAAGTTTAATATAGGTATAAGGCAAAAGTTTAAGTGAAAGAATTAACCATTAGAAAAATTTTCCAGAGATAGAAATAGGCTCTTTATCACAAAACCTGAAAAATCAAGACAAGATGCTTTTCTGGCACTTCATACAGTAATTCCAGACAGTTCTGTAGTTTAAAGAAGAGGCCAGACTAGGTGATCACTGTGGTTCCTTTTGGCCTTATTAATGTTGAGTCAGTGAGTCACCCCTTTATTGGCACTCACTTTTGTATAGCTACTAGTCATACAGATGTGATCACAGTATAATTCAAAATTCCATTCCTACTCAGACAGTATTTAAAAAGTAATTAATCTGTTATTTAGAGATTGTCTTTATCAAATTTCTATAAAAATATCTTTCAGTCAAAATAAGTAGTGATGAAGAGTTTATTTCAGGGAGCTACAGGAAGATTCTAAAGTAGACATCTCCTAAACCAGATCCTACTTGCGTCACCTACACAGCAGACTGTCAGCAGTGCACTATATTTTTCTTGTAGAGGGAAAGAAGGCAGAAGGAAAAAGAGAATGTTTTGGTTTGTTTTTTCCCGTTTGTTTGGGTTTTTTCTCATTAGAAGAAGGAAATACAATTGAGGAAATATGGCAGTGATCTGTTACATTGGAGACGCAGCTCTGTGTTCTTGCCTTGAGGGAACTCTACCTACTGTATTATCAAATATCCACTGGTATAAGGACTGATTATGACAAACGCAAATTTAAGTTGCTACTTGAAATCATACAGAAGGAACTTGGAAGACATTCTTTTCTTACTTTCAGATGGTAGACCTAACTGTTGGACAGTTGGCTATTATCAAGTGCTTCAGGACTTTTCTGGACCTGAAAAGCAATTCTGGCAATACATTGAAGAGAATATTTTAATAGAACCTTTGTTAGTTTTCTCCAAGCAGCTCTCGTGTGCACTTATTAGGTGAATTTCTTGCATCTAGGTCACTTACTCATGTCAAAATGCTTCTCAAGGCTAGAGATAAATGCCTAGTGATAAGGAAGAAAGGAAACAATTTGTGCAGTTGTAGAGTGATAAAGGACCTAGATTGCCTGTAATAATAACCAATTGTGTCAATGTAGGAGAAGGCTATGAGCTCCCCCTTTCTTCCAAATGCCTTGCAGCTTTTAGTATTAATTATTTCATATGAGGAAAAGTAGCCAGGTCTTTTCACTACGATACCCTAGGATCTTCATGGACTAAATTAAAGGAACTCCTGGTATGTGAAGTTCCATTATACAGAGGGATTTTTTTGCATGTGCTGAGTGCTTAGTAAAAGATAATGATGGGAAAAATACGCAAGAGAAATAAAAGAAGAGGAAACTTCTTGGCTTTTGCTCAGCCCAGGCTTTTCACAATAAAGTAAGAAGGAGGCTGCATCAGATCAAGGTTACAATATTCATTTTTTTCGCCTACTATTGATGTGGTTCCTTGATGGATGAAACAATGTTTAATATATCCTATATGTTGTCAAGAGTTTTTATTCTTCTAACAAAATGTTGATGATCCTGTTTGCCTCATTTACCAGTATCCTTTCAGCCCTGATATGGCTTTAGCACACTCATCGTTTGGGAGAAGGAGGAGGAAAGGGCTGTAGTCGTCACTGACGTCAATGATGCATATGCATCACACCCCTGAAGTTGCCCTTTGAAAGGGAAAAAATTAGTGGTTCTGCAACTGGTTGTTTCATCTGAACATTTAAATTCTGTCACAAACACATTTCATTCTCTAAATTGCACTTTTCCTTTAAACTGTGGTCTCACTGTTGTTTTTCATATGTAATAATAAAAAAAAAATCTAATACCTAAATGCGAATGTTCCACTTTTAACGTAATATTGTTAGACAGTCTCAGCACAGAAACTGAAGCTTCAATACTGTTGATAGCACTAATCAACAGTACTGTAGATAACACTAATGCTTTAAATTAATCATGACATTATTGCGTGCTAACTCCAGTAATGAGTTCAGGAACGCTAGTTATATTTTTTTAATCTCACACTTTTCTCTGTGTGGAAATGCAAAAAAAAAAAAAAAAATCATTGCTGAAAAAAAAAGTTTTAATTTGAAAAGCTAACAGCAGATTAAGCAGAACCTTTTTTCTTTGTAGAAGTGTTAGGGATGCTTAGGGGATGCCTAAAATCTAGTACTCTTTGTTCTTGTTCTTTGGAAGACTAGGGCTGTTCAAATAGAAAATAAATAAATAAATAAAAAAGGAGATAAAACAGTGAATAAAATTAGTTTGATCACTTTGTAGATTAAATTTTTCTTTAACCGAAGATTCAAAAAGGAAGAACACTGAGACAAATGGGTGTTTGGTACCTAAATTATCCTAAGTCTTAGTTCTGACCAAAGACTAGGTAGGTGTGGCTGTAGTTCCTCTAGAAAGATTCCTCAGTATCTTCTGAGAAGTCGTTTCTTACCCTTGGTTGTGCTCACTCTCTCCCACTGCTCTGGTGAAGTAAACATGATGCAGAAATATGTGGGGTTTTTTTTACAATTACTTTATTATATTCATTACCCTACTTGTTTCTTGAAGGTTTTGAGAAGCTTAGCAATTTCTGCATTCTGATCCCACGACTGACTAAAATTTGTTGGTTTTCTTAACTCACATTCAGACTCATCATCTGTCTAAAAAAGGGTACTTTGGCAATCCTGGCCCTAATAGGTACTGGAATGACTCTTCATTTTATCATTTCATTTTATGTTTATCAGGAGGACATAATCTTGACTGAGGCTGAATAGAGGACACAGTAGTTGAGTGTAGTGATGATGAGCCCTCTTTATCTGAGCCCCTTTTACAGGACTGCCTGTTGATCTGAGTAGTTAGCTGGGTAACAGTGATGAGACAGCAGAGTTGAGAAAGATGACCTTTTAATCTTCTGTCTTGGGATAAGATTACAGTAATTTCTGTATGTCAAAAATCATTGTTCTTTTACTTTTTTCCTTTTGAAATGCAACTACTCTAAGGCAAACAGTTTTGTCTAGAACTGGAGGGGAGGGAAGAAATTTATTTGGAAAGAAACTACTCTTCATCGTTAATTACTGTACTCTCTGAGAGGAGACAGTGTTCTATAAATGTGTTTCTGTTCAGGATCATTTGTGGATGATATAAAAATAATATAAAAAGTAAATTGTCATTAACTTTTCAGTTATGCATAAATAGATGTATGCTGCAAGTAGCTGGATAGGAAACTTGCCAGAGGATATGTACTGAGCAAAATTAAACCCAGAAATAATTGCTTAAGTATATGCTTATTTATTTATTTTTTTATTTAAAAATTCTGCCATTTTCCTATGAGCTCCACATGTCTTCTGTGACTGGCAGCCCTTACACTCCCCTCACTCGGATCAGTCCATTCCTACAGAATCCTACATGCATGAAAAAGTGCTTTACCAGAATGCCTTTTTGTTCTTTCATTATTTTTTTTTTCCAATTATCTAGCGAAATGAAACTTCAGAAAAACCTAATGTGTTAAACAAAAAGTACAGAAACCCTGCAAGTCCCTCCCCTGTAGTACAGCTTCACACATCAACGGGCTTCCAGAGTAATTTTTGGTCTTGGCACAGAGCCTGTTTGAAAAACACTTCAAAGCAGTAATGGGTGACAGCAGTGAGAGTTTGTCTCAGTCTCTGGATGAAGATGAAAAGGGAACTGAGCCACTGGATTTTGGCTTTTGAGGGTGTTTTGTGAGTTTCCTGATAAAGCTGAGGGATCAGCAAACTGATTCACACTGCTTCCAAGTGTGCTTCTGGTGCTGGTGTAGAAAAACAGGAGGTATATACAAGCACAAGAATCTTGTGGAGAGATTGCACACCTGTTTAGTGTGATATCACATATGCATAGCACATATTTCACTTTATACACTTCTAATTTCAGGCTAAAATCAAGAAACGTGAAGCATTGGTTTGTTGCAATGTCCAATCACAATCCTCTTTAAAAAGGAGGCACTTTCTAAGGAAAATGTCTACTGGAGGAGAAGAAAGGACCTCCTGTGTGCTTAGACCCCTGACTTGTCCGCATGCGTATAGCTGGTGGCTTTCCTCTGATGGTGCACAGCAGGCAGCCCCCTGACCCCTCTGGCGTGTGGCACACATTCAGTGTTATACTTACTGTGAAGGAGGGGGGACATTGTCAGAGAAGACAATTGAAGCTGGTAGTTTCTGATCTCTAAAAGCAGGGATCATTCATCTAAGTAACTTGGATATGCTCTCTCCCTCTCTGCAACCATGCAAACCCCCTCTAATTCAGAATCAGAAATTGGTAACCTGAAGAAGCTCCAAAGGCCTGTAATTTCTTTTTCTTCCGTCTTTCCATGGTGAAATTTAAAGTGTCACCTCTGGAAACAGCATTACGAAAATTATGTTTGCTTGGTTTTTAAAATTTTGAACACAGTGTCACACCAACATCTTTTTAATTGCAGGCATTGGAAGAGCCAACCAAGACTGCCAGTGTGACTGAAGACACTGCTTTGGACACTCATTCAGAGGTAGTGCTGTTATATGACTTCCAAATCTCTATTAGAAAACAAAAAAAGCAAAGGTTAACTGAATGATCCATCCTCTTTTTTCAGATGTGCTCCCCTGCTGAGCTCAGACAACAAACAGAAGAGCTGTGTGCTGTCATTGATCAAGTCCTGCAGGACCCATTGACTATGGTAACCCATCAGTATGGGAGATTGACTTTTGCTCTTCCTTTCCTTTTTTTTTCTTTTTTTCCCTCATCATTAATAAGTCTGTTCTGTGTTGAAAATAATTTTACAGCGCCGATCTGAGTCTTCTCCAAGTTTTCTGCAGATGAGCACGGAGTCAGATGTTGGCAAGGTAGGTGAATAAGCCCACCCAGACACCAAGGGCTCTTTCCAGGTAGATATCAAGGCAAGCAAAATCACAGTAGAGCCTATGACAACACTAAAACCTATAGCAATGAAAGTTGCAGTTGAGACATCCAGCATCAGTAGAAGTATCTGGTGGTTTGAAAGATGTGAAAGGATAGAAATGTAGCCCTAGAGTCAGAGCAGTCCTTGCTGCAGAATGCTTTCCTGAAGTCAGAAGGGGCTATCTTATGAATGAGAAACTGTTCATTAAGGCTTCAAAAGCTAAGACCCACTAGGAAGAAATCCTTCATAACTTGCCTTCCATACTACAACATCTTTAGCCAGCTTACCAATTTTTTCCCATCCGTGTGTCCTCTCTATAGAGGAGCAAATGTTTCTAGCTTCAGGAACTGGAAGTCTCTCAGGACGCTTCCCCCCCCGCCCCCATTAATTTTCAAATAATGGGATAATTAAATGAATGAATAGACTTGCTCTTAAGGGCTGATTTCCTTTTAACTCTGGCCCTTCACAGAAGGGGGAGGCCCACTACATTTATTTACCCTGAATAACTCAGAAACATGTAGTGATAGGCAGGGATAACTTTCTATGCTAGTGTTAAACATCCGGTTTCATTAAGTTATATTGATGTGCCTTCGTTGTTAAGAAGGATGACTAACCAAGGGAAGAGGATCCTATGCAGTTTGCCACAGATAAACTTACATTGGTCATAGTAGCGATAGGAAAGCGAAAATGGCAGAAATCCAGCTGGAAACAAGAGGAAAGGGGTTTTTGGCAGAGGGACATATCAAGAAATTCATGCATTCAAAATAGCTTGTACAATATTCAGTTCACCAGGCAAAAAAATAAGGCATAGAACCAGCATTCCTGAGTGGCTATATTCAATATACACTTCAAATTTAATTTTCTATTATGAAATTATTTCTTCTGTCAACAAACATGCCATGGTGAATCAGGCTTCAGACAGCTGAAAGACACAAACATGATAGTAACATAAAGAAGCAGGCACAGACAGTTGCTGAGGGAATGTTTTCCAATGTCTGCTGAATTCAAAGTGGTTAAAATGCTGTAGCATCCAAAATCTACTTCCTTGGGCAATTGAGAATTGAGCCTTGACCAAGCTGGAGGCCTCTGTTAGCAGTCATGACCAAATAAAGGGGACAAAAAGTGAGTTTAATAGGATGCAGCATAGGGACCATAAATGCCTTTATCAGCTAAAGTGCTTATAACAAAATGCTTTAAACTAAGGGTAAAAGAGGGTCATAGACAGGAAGGTAAAAAAAGCATATAAGAAAATACCATAGAAATAGCATGAATTAGTCAGATGAAAGCAAGTTCTTGCAAACGAGAACATGCAAAGATGCCATTCCAGGTTATTTTGTGAGGAAATCTAACTTAAAATTCATGGGGCAACCACACCTATGGCTATCTAATAATAGCATTTTGTTATGAGAGTTCTTGGAGGTAATTTAAATGCCTTCCTCAATAGAGTGGGATAATTTTCTTGAGCAGTAAAAATTAAACAGTATTTTCTACAATGAACATATCAAGCAAAACTTTAAGATAACTTATGTATTGCATTAATCTTTCTGGAAAACTGAAGTTTTCTTGAATTCAAGCAATTAAGAACTGTCACAGTGATGAAAATCTCTTCGGGCTACTCCTCAGAGTAACTCCTCTCTTAATATATTTATTTTATACAAGGTGTCAACAACACTGCAAAGAGCAGCTGGGCGTGAAACCAGATATGTAAGTACTTTTATAATTACATTTTGCATCAGAAATGTCTAATTTGTCTGCTTTTGCTATAATACTGAGTCTGCACAGGCATCTATTCATGACAAATGGTGTTGACTGGTACTGAGAAGTCAGTGTGTTAGAGCACTGGAAATTGAGACTTGAGATGCTTTCCCTCATGGCCAGAATCTTTTCAAAGCAGTGTATATTGTTAATTTTACCTGTGTGAATATGATGTTAAAATTAATGTTTTCACACATTTTTTTTTCTTCTTTAAATGTGGGGCAAGAGCTCAGCTACCTGGTAAACAGACTGTTATGGGGGCTGACAGCTGCAGTTCTTTGGATTTGGCCTAAGCCCTTTAGTTCTTGTCTATCCATTAGAATCTGGGGTTGACCCAAACTTTTCTTTCCAAGGTATAGAGCTGGCTGAAACCCCCTAGTTTAGCCTTAGCTTAGAGAAGCTGCTTTGTCACATACACACACGTTTTAGCATATAAAGAAAGTCTCTACATGCAGTCATCTCTTCCACTATTGAAACATTAAACCAAATTAGCATTTTAATGTTTACTAGCATACATAGTTTACTGCAGGTTCCATATTTCACTTACAGCTCATCTAGTCCTGTGGTGAGAAATCTCTGCTTGCTATTCATCATTCAGCATTTCTATTGAACCTCAAGTCAAAGCAGTGCTGGTAAAGCAATAGAAGCCTTCCAGTTTTATGCCAGCAAAATGCTTGACTGATAAATTCAATTTTGGTTCTTGAATGTGGTGGCATGCATATTTTATTGCATACTGTGATTTTTACTTGACAGATTGTGCTGGCTCATACTAATTAGAAAGAATATTGGAAGAGACCTTCTTGATGAAATAAAAAGTGTGTTTCAGATGTAATCTGTGAGAACAGAATATATTTAATACCACTCCAGAGCAGATCTCCAGCTCCCAAAACTGTGGCTGACATAAACCATCAATTCAGAACCGCTGTGTTATCCAGTGGTACTCCTGTCGTGCTTGAAGGAGTTGATGGGAGGGATCAATGCACCAGAAATTCTGAATGTCACCACTGCATGGATAAGTATGTGGCACATGGCTATTTCACATACATGCATAAATACTTTACATTCATCACAATTACTTAGATTAGGGTAAATACAGCTTCAATGTATACTCAGAAAAAGTAATGCTTGAGTAGGATTGTTCTTGTTTTCATAATGTGAAATCAGAAGGATAATAAGGTTGGACCAAAGTCCCAATACAACTGGCAGTGTTAATAACATTGATGCTGTAAACTAACAGACAATGGCAGGTAAGAAATGTCAAGATTTGTATTTTGAGATTAGATGAAAAAGTAGAATTTTGTTTCACTTGAAAAAAGTTTCCCTGAAATGTTAATGATTGGCATTTATATTTGGTTATACCTAGAAATAAACTGGAAATAACATTATTTTAACTTCTTTTACCAATTGCGTGTAATTGCATCAGTAGTATGTCCATATCCATGCTGCTGTCCATGGATTTTTCTTCTGTCATAACTATAGTCGCTATGATATTGTATGTAATGCTGTATGTATTTACCTTTTTTGCAGGCCAGCCTTTACAAATCAGCACCTATTGTAACAGAGAGTCAGCTGGTATGTATTGCACAGCTGTGGTACGCTGTTTTTCAAAATTTGCCTTAGCACAAAATCAAAAGTAATTATTACTTTCTTAGTACTTTGAAATAAGCTGCAGGAAGTATCCTCCTACAAAGCTGCATTGCTTCTACAGACTCATATTGCTTTCTTCTGTACTGAATACATACCTGTTTTAAGTAACTGTAAATCCTGACAGTACATGTAAATCCATGGACTAATTGACAAACTAGAGAGTCTTGCTGAATCTTGAGGTCTATGACAACTATAGTTCTCAGACCGTTTTAAAATCCCACTTCTACAATTTTGTTTATATGCAACAATGTTCTGGCATCTATTTTGTTCTTACACATCACCTTAAATCAAAGCTGGCTTAACTAGTGAAAAGCAAGTGTAAAAATCAAATAAAGAAAGGGAGATCATGGAAATTCATTTTAGCTCTGATCACAATTTAGTCCTGTTGGAGCCCAACTTTCTGAAAAAGAGTCAGAAGAGAGGTCATGGATCCTGTCCTAGTGCCAGTGATGACAAATGGGGAAAAATGAGAAGTGGATGAGATATTTTTCCCATTGTATTTCAGCTAATGGAATTTTAGGGAATTCCTGAATCAATTTCTTCTGTTTAGTAATCTTTGACTACTTCTTTCATAATTTTTCCAGGTACATTTTGAATCTTATTATACTTCAACATTTTATACAGCAAGTCCCTACAATATTCTGCAGCAATAGGGTTTACTTTTAATCATGCATTGTGTGAAATAGCACTTTATCTATTTTAATCCTACTACTTGACCTCTGTTCTTGTACTGAAACAGCAAATTATTCTTTCTTCATTTTCTAAATAATAATGATATTCTAAGTATTAACCATAATACCCCACACTACCCTATCAGACAACTTTTACATACAGAAAATTAAAAATTGATAAGTTGCTCTTTGAGAAATGTGGATACTGTCCCATATCCTTGATGAACCTCATTGTCCTTTTCTGTATCTTTTTCAGTATTTTGATTTTGAGATTCGGAGACTAAAACCATAAACTACTCTTGTCTAGCTCTGAACACAGTACTTACTTACGTGACAACATAATAAGAGTCTTTATTGTTATTTCTATTCCTTTCTTTAGCAATCATAGTAATTTATTTAGTTCCACCTTGTATTGAGTAGTAAGCCAATGTTTGCATAGTACTGTATACAATAAATCCAAGATATATTTCCTGAGTGGTGACACCTAGTTTTGGAGCTAACTAGATCTTCACTGCCTGTGTAAATTTACAATATAGCTTAGATTTTCCCAGTGAAATATATCAATGCTGAATTCAGTTAAATTTCACCCTTTTTATCATTCATTCACTCAGTTTCATAAGATCTCTCTGCAATTCTTTGCATTGATATTTTGTTTTTACTCTCCTGAATGATGTGGTATAACTTTCAAACTTTGACACCTTACTGGCCACTCTTTTCTAGCTGATCTATTATCCATAACTCAAAGCCCAGATTCCAGAGCAAGTCTCCAAGGAGCTCTATTTGCGACTTCCCTGCACTGTGAAATTTGAACATTTAGTCCACCCTTTTCATTCCTATATTTTAATTTGTCCACAGGAAATACTCTCATTCTGTAGCATTTTCATTTCCTTAGTAGACCCACTGAAAGACCTTCACCAAAGCCTTTGGAAATCCATATGCAGAATGGCTGTACATCCACTGAACTTCATAATCTGTGGCGCAGCTTCATTTTGTGATCCCTGACCATGCGTCTAGGACTTGGTGGGAAAAACCCCACAAATACTGAGCCTTACGGAAGATGGTCTGTGGTTTCTCACTTGATTTCCTTTAATATGTGTTTCTACATGTTGAAAGATTTGCATACGGGTATTTTAAAAGCAACCTACATCTGCTGTATCAGCCAGCTTTCTTGCATCACTGACTCTTTAAAATAACTTTAAAATATTTATGAGGCACAATTGCCCTTTAAAAAGACATTCCCTATTTTTTTGCTCAAAAATATATTAATTCTGTTCTTTACTATAAATTGTTCCTTTTAATGTCACATATAGAGACTAGTGATTCCTTGTTCCTTCAGCTTCCTGTAGTAAAACCTGCCCCACAGTTGGCACTTCTCATTCTTCTGGAGCTGATTATGTCTGAAGGAGCAAGTTATATACCACAATTCATACTGTGGAAATTTCACACTGGAATTGCTTTAGAGTTTTATTTATTCCTTGCACTTTATTTGCTCATTTTATTGATTTGTTCTCAGATCTGCCTTACTGACACTGTGCTTCATACATTTCCTCCAAATTACTTCTTTGCCAGTGTGAGAACCTTCTTAAGTCTTCCTGTGAGGAAAATTGAAGTGAGGAATTGATTTTCAATCTTGGACTCCTCTTCTTCACGCATCTTTTTTGTCTTGATTTTATCTACTGGCCCTATAGACTGTTAGTTGTAAGGAAATTTAGACAGTTTTTTTTCTCTTTCTTAATGTAATTTATGACGTTTTTATATTACAGGCTAGATTTTCCTTTTTTTTTTTCCTCTTTTTTTTTTTTTTTTCCTTTTTATAGGTTGTATTTGAGTACAATTTCCTGACTTTGGAGCCTTCTCCTCCTTATCCTTCCCCCCCCCCCCCCACTTCTTTGCACTTCTTTGATGCTCTTTGAACATCAGTATTGATCTCTTAAAGTCTTATAATCTGACGCACAGATTACAGTCTTAAGTAGCATTCAGGGCACTTATAACTATTAAATACTTTTGGCAGCTTCTTTGATTTCTGTCTTTTTTTAAAGCATTTTAATTATTTATATATTTGAATTCACTTTTTTTAAACTGTGATCACTACAGTGGAATTCTTGTGTGTTCAGACAGCAAACCTTTCTCTGAGCACATTGTGATCTTTATTCATGAATGATTCTTCTTCTAACTTAGAAATTTTGCAGGACTTATGATTCAGCTAATTACTTCTGTCTTGGAGTCTCTGACTAGCTATACCAGAGACTGATTGTTATGATGACCAAAAACGTATCTGCCTCTCAGCTATGTGACTTTAATCCAATGGACAAGTGAAGCATTAGGCTTGCCACTGTGACTCTTATCAACAGATTTTCTACTCTTAAAAGATGACTATGAATGATTTATGACAACAAAGTGCAAAATCATACCCAGCACACCAACACAACATATATTATTGACATCATCATTAACTGTAGCATCTTAAGCAAGTACAGCAAAATTCATGTGGGACCAGTATTGCATACCTTAGTACCCAAATATTTTATGTTTATTCATTTTAATGCTGCAACAGTCATTTGTAGGTTTTGAGTGTGCAGTGGAAGGGTTTATTACCGTTATCGCCCTCCTTGTCACCAGCCTGGGCAGTGAGCATTGCCTGAGCAAACCTGTTCCTTTTTCTGGTCCCCGACTTGCAAACTTGCTCCTCTGCTGGCTGCAGAATAGCAACAGAGGTGAGTGCCCTGTTCACACTGCTCTTATTGTGGATCTGTCCCTTTTCTCCAGTTGTTGAGGAAAAAGCTGATCCCTGGACAGTGAATAGAATGGAAAGGGGCTAAATATGTTGATTATAACTTTGGCTTAGTTTAGCACACAGTATAGTATCAGACATCTTGTTGAAAATTTGTGTTTCTTGAAATGCAAATATTTCAGTATGGACAAAAATAAAGACAACTTGAATTTCAAACAGGTGACTGTCCTTATTCTCTGTGCTCTGGTGTAAGAACTGATGCTGCTTCAGCATGGAGGTGAAGAAAATAATTATCTTTGCTTCCTAGGCTTTCAGTGATGTGAGTGATTTACTATTTAGCTGGAGGAAGAGGAAATTCTTCTAACCATAGTTATATGCCTTCACACCTTCAAATGTGCTGAAGGAGAGCTTTGTCTTAGACTGATACACTACCTGAAATGTTTTATTGCATTTTTGCAAGCATAAGCCTCTACAAAGGAAAATAAAAAGAAGGTAGTATTTCAATTACATGTTTCCTTTCATGAAGACTAATTTGTGACAGAAAAGAAACAAAAGGGGAATATTTTAGGTTGTTTTGCAGTTCAACTAGACAAAGCCTCTGTGTTTGTATTGTTAGGGCAAAACCCATCTTTTTGCTGACAGTGGAAACTTCAATGCTCTTTCATGACAGGGCAGCCAATTCCTCACTATCTGAAAGCAGGTGTTGTCAACAGTTTAAAGGCTGTTTAGGTAACTGGCTTCTCAGTGCTGACAAAAAGATGACCGCATCAGCTGAGGCTTGCTTCATTACATACTAGCCCCCTCTGTCCCAGGGTCCCTTTCCCCAAAACTAAAGATTTTATTGGAAAGAACTTGAAACGGTTCCTCTGGTTATCCCAGTTGAAGCAGAAGGCTTCAAAGACTACAATTTGTACAGAAAATAAAGACCATGCAGCCAAACAGATAGACTCAGTGCTTACTATTTGTCAAGAGGGCTCTGATGGACTTAGAGTGGAAAGAAATGAAAGATGGCCACTAACTTTTATCACAAGGCTAGCTCTCCTGCTTTGTTATGTATTTTTATCTAATCATGCATTATCTATGTTAATTATTTGTCTGGTTGTCTCAGAAGCAGGCTGCTTCAAAACAGCACTGCATTGAAATTATATGAAAGAGCCAATTCCTTTTTAAACATTAAGAGGCAACTTCCTTGTTTACAGAAAAGCTGTTCAGGTATCCAGAACACCTTAATGTCTATGTGACCTAGAGCACCTCAAAGAGTGGCTGCAGTCATTGCTAGGTAACAGAGGAGGAGAGTCTGATCCTACACTGGTAATCTCTAATACTCTTGATAAGGGGAAGTGACAGTGATTCAGACAGGAAAATGTGGGACTCAGAGAAATTTGGGCCTCTTCTGAGAGGAACAGCATTGCATCTGGGACCTTATCCACCAGTTTCAGCAAGATTTCAGGAACAACCAATGTCATGATAACAAAGGGAAAAAATAGAGTTGAACATAGCAATACACCTGCAGATGAGTAGTTCAGTCTTCTGACTTTTGAGGGAAATATCACACAGGGCTCTTTTTCATACACCAAAATTCCTTCTGTCCCTGAGGAAGGGTAGCCATGTCCATACTGCCTATCAAAAGCTGCCCTCGCCCAGCCTGTCCTGCTATTTCTGACTGTGTTTGCCAGCCTGAGCCAAAACCATGCCAGGAAGTGCCCTGACACCAAATCAGTACAGCTGATTACGGGTCAACTCTGGAGCTTGCATCTTGGCCCGGTATAATTTGCTATTAGGGGAGTAGCCATATGATGGCAGTCCATTGCTATGGTAACAGCCTTTATCATTTTTCAGTGCTGTTTTAGGAAGATCAATGCTTCCTTGGCAAAACTAAGTTTCAGTTTATTTCTCAGGAGTGTCAGTTGTGCTACCTGCTATTAAATGAGGGGTTCAAGTTTTTGGGTTTGGATCAGAGATTTGATATATTTTGTCAGGGTGCTAATAAAGTATTTCAATTTCTGTTGCTGGCTGATATCTGTCGCTTTGTTAGCAGTCAGACACAAACATATGACTCAGTCAACACTTGAGTGTGTGATGCTGTTTAGAAAATGCTCCCTTAAAAGTATTTCTACAAAGTGCTTTTGGAAGAGGTTTCTTACATAAGGAGAGTAGCTTATCCTTGGTGATTTCAGGTACCTCAATGGGCTTTTAATTGCATGGTGTGAAGGAGTGCTAGAAGGCCACAGGTCCTTTGTCTGTGTGATGATGACTTGATAGCAACTGTAGTTTTAGTTTTATATTTGCTTTTCTGTTGAAAGCCAGGAGTGTTTCCCTTTTGCAAACTCTTCTCAGAAACTTTGGAGAAGAAAATAAATATCTTATAGTGAATTCTACAAAGAAAATCATGAACTATGGACTATAAATTTATTAAGTGAACACCATATTTTTCACTAAGTTAACCTTTGCAATGAAAGAGTTTTTAATGCACCTAGGCAGTTATTATCCTTTTTAAAGAATGAATATCACCTCATGACTAATTTTTTGCTTTCAGTTGAATATGCCTCTTATTTGATGAGGCAGAAGAAAAGGCCCCAACCTGTGGAAAGGAGGGAGGGGATAAACCACAAAGATAAGGGAAAATATTTTGCTGCATGGCCCTTGCTTTTCCAAAGCCATGTTGTGCTTTTCCACTCCTCTGCCAACTTCACCTCAGCACCTGAGCACTGCTCTGTCCTTTCCCAGGGCAGAGGCAGATGCACAAGATGTGGAGACATCCCTTGCCTCCTGCGCCCTCCCCTCTGACAGGCACCCCTCTTACCCTGCCCTTGCTGGATGCCTGCAGGTCTTATTTGAAAGTGATCCACAATTCAGTTTACATGATACATCTGGCAATCTCAGATGCCATCATAGCAAGCTTCTCTTTTACTCCAGATACACTGCTTAAGTGTATTGCTCTTGTAAATAGGCAGTATGGTGTCTTTAAATGTACGCAGTCTAAATTTCATAAATAAATCTAGTAGCAAAAAAGGTTTCTTCTCTGCATTTTTATACCCTGCTGGGTACTGAGGGTGTGGAGCTATGACAGCACCTCTTCCTCACTCTCAGCTGGGCAAGCTGTCCCCCTGGGCTGCAGCCATGGAAGGAGCTTAGCAGCAGTCCTGTTGTTATCTGTATTAGTTATGACAAATCCTGCCCATTTTCTAAGGGACAGCTGTAACAGGGAAGAACAGAATTGACTTATTTAAAGGTTCAAATTCAATCACAAATCCCTCCAGGACTTCAGTACTTCCCAAATTCCAGTGAGAATGCAAGCTATTTTCTTCCTTTTCTTTGTTTACTGAACAGGTTGTGTATTTTAAAATTATCCCCTAGCCTCCATTTAGAGTTTATGCCACAAGCCATCATGTCAGACTTTACTGTAAGAATTCTAAAAATCATAGATGTACTAAATTGACAAGTCAATACCCAGTTTTTTTGGTTGGCTGGTAGCTATCTAAGATCTTTCCTTGACTAAATAATCCAATCTGTCTGAAATGAGCTGTATCACACATCCCTGCTAATTAAAGTCTCTAAAACTGCACTTTTCTAAGTGAACTCTTAAAGATACTGTAACTCAGTCATTTAGGTGAGTGGCTCTGTTGCCAGGGTGATCCGCAGCAGAGTGCTCTAACATGGAGCACAGGAGGGTTCCCAAAGAGGAGGAACCTCAGGGGATCTGGGGGTGCTGCCAGGAGCCTGCAGCTTGTGTGATAGCTGCTGACAGGACCTGGAGAGGGGAGCTGGGAGCAATGGGAGCCAAACCTACTATGTATAAAAGAAGCCCTTAGGGAGCACCAGTGACCAGAAAAGCTGCCAGTAGTGTGGGCAAACAGGGCATGGCGTGTGGCAGTTCACACAAAAGGGTGTGCAGGAAGGTGCTGAATCTCTGCCAGCTTGACCAGGGAACGGTGGTATCTACCCTGCAGAAAGCTATGGGCTCTCTAAGCTCTGCATCCACCACAGTGGTTGCAGCTGCCCAGGCAGGGCTGCCGTGGGAGCACTTTGCCACCCTGGCACCAGCTGCAGCCTGCGCCCTGCTCTTACACTGGTGTTGCACAGCAGCAGTGACCAGACCTGTGGGAGGTGTGCCCAGGTAAAGGAACTCTCTCCTTAGTGACAGAGCTCAGGGGGGACATGAGTAGATTGAGGACTATCAGGGAGAGTGAAAGAAACACAGGCTGCCTTCCCTGAGACATGCCCAGCAGGCAGGCAGGATGTATGATATGGAGGATTCCCTCTTCCCTCTGTCTGGCTGAACACAGTGACTTATGGGATTTGGGCAATGGTGATAAGTGCTCAGTGCATTGGAGGGGTGTGAGGCTGCATGAGGGGTGTGAGGCTCTGCAAGTGGAACAATGACAAGGATAATGGTTCATCTAGCATGGAGACAGTCAAGGTTAAGTTGTCCTATGTCCTGTGTCAAAATTGCTTCCATAAAGTTAAAAAAGACAGGTCATTGTCATAGGAGACTCCCTTCTGAAGGGAACATAAGGCCCAATACACAGACTGGACCCACTTCTTATAGACATCTGCTGCCTCCCTGGGGCCTGTGTTAAAGATGCAAAGAGAAAACTTCCTATAGCAGCCCTCAGATTACTATCCATTATCAATACAGTACAGCCCTCAGATTACTATCCACTACCAATTTTTCAGGTAGGCAGTGACAAAGTTACAATAAGAAGTTCAAGGGCAACCAAGAGAGACTTCAGGGCCTTGGGAGGACTGGTAAGGGATCAGGAGCACAAGAAGTGGCCTCCTCTATCCTGCCAGTTGCAGGGAATGAAGAGGGAAGAAACAGGCAGAGCCGCAGACCAACACCTGGCTCCTAGCCTGGTGTCACCAGCAGAATCTGGGGTTCTTTGGTCGTGAGTTGGTCTATATAACACCAGGTCTGCTGGCAACAGATAGGGTTCACTTCTCTCAAAGGGGAAAAGATCTTTACACAGGAGTTTGCAGGGCTCACTGAAGGATATTTAGATTTGAAGGGGACTTGCTAGAGGGTGGCAAGCCAATGTTTGAGAGATGGCATGCAAGTGAGATCCTTTGGTCTGCTGTATCAGGTAGCTGATGAAGATCCATGTGGCAGCAAAGACAAGGGGTTATTGACATGTTAGAAACCACAGAAGCACCTGGGAATACTCATGTAGGAATTAGGGCTTCTTCCCCTTAAAAGGTGGTGGGATCAATAGCCCAACTGAAGTGCAAGCAGCATGGGTAGCAAACAGGAGGAGCTGAAAGCCACTGTGCAGCATAAAAACTGCTATGATTCTATGAAGTTCAGCATGCAGTCACTGATACTGTTCTCCAGAAAGACTTTGCCCTGATCTGTTGCTGCCTGGGTGTAAGTTAACAGCATCACATGTTGCCCTTTCTTGCTTCAAAGTTACTGTTTCGAGGAACCCAGAAAGCAACGTGCAGCATGAAAGCAGATGTGTGGTTGTGCATAAGCGTGAGTTGATGAACTTATTAAGATGCAGCTGAACAGCTAGCACAGCCAGCAAACCCTACAAAACTGACGGCCCAGCATCTATTTTTGTGTTGACAGTAAACAGATGTCAGCGGAGAGGTTCTGGGCATAAAAACAGCTCTTGCTGTTTTAGTCCAGAATCTGTAGTAAAAGTAGGCCAGGCAGCATGACACCTGCATAATTTTGGTGGTGAAATAAATTACTGATAAAATAAAAAAACCCCTAGTCAGTACAGCTGCTCTGGAACTGACCCAATAAATACTCTGTGAACTGTAAAGTATTTTATTTCATTTTCTTCCATCTCTTTTCCCATGGCTGTGTTATGGGTCAAGACAAAACCTGGTGTCATTCGTCCGGTGATGGTGAAAGGAAAGAGTGCACAGCAAAAGGAGGAGCCCTATCAACCCAATCCTTTTAAAAAGTACCTTGAAGATATCAGTGATCAGAATGCTGAGCAGGTGAGTAACTCTCACTCTGAAGGATTCTATAGCCTTATTTAGTTTTCTTAAAGATGATGGAATAATCTTAAATCCTTCATTTGTCCTGGTCTCTTCTTTTTTATTGTGAAGTTAGATGATTCCCTAATGGTCACTGGCTCCTGGAGGAGAGTCTCCAGGCTGGATATGGGCAGCTGGGCTTTCTAAAGGGTCATTTTTTTGTGTGATCTAAAAGCCTGCATGTTAAGGAGAGGACTTTTTTATGATGTCTGTAGGAAACACTGTACAAAAGAAAGCAGAAATCCTGTGCTCTCTTGTCAAGCAGGTGTCTGGATCAGATCTACTAGAAAGTCTTTCATCCATTTGGGGTCCAGATCTGAATCCTCTCTAAAGAGAAACAAGGACAGCAAGGATTGGGCTAGGTTCATTCTTCCTTCTCCAAAGGAGATTGGGGAGGAGTCTCAGTGAGTTGCTGTGTCACACCCGTCTGTAGCTACCCCAGGTCCAAGCTGTCCTTTCACAGCTTGAGAGGATAGCTCTTCTACCACATGTGACAGGCACTAAAATGTAGCCCATGGGCCAGCAAAAGTGCTGTTTTCTCCTGCAGACTGCTGCATAAAGCCACAGGGTCACTTTGCAAAAACACATCTTGAAGTTTACTGACCTGTATAAGGCATTGCCTTAGGAAAAACCCAATGAATGGCTCTGTCAGTCTTTTCTTGCTCATTTGTATTTGTACATTTATGTGAATTAAACCTTAACTGCTATACATAATCTGAATGTCCCTGTAAGGCTTATTATTAACTTAACCAGCAGGTTTGGGATTTTCCATTTCCAGGGTAGTGAAAGGAAGCCAATAGTCCTCTTGTCAAACACGAAGTGAATAAAATACCTTGCCACTCAAATTTCTCTTCTATGCCTCTCACATTAGAGAGAGGCTTTAACAAGGGCAGCCTTCTCTTCTCCATTTAAAAACTGATAAATTTTGTTTTTGTTTTTTTTATGATTTTACTTTTTGTTCTTCCCATTTTTCATCATAGTTCTGACTTGCTGTAGAACAATCCTAACATTTCTCAACAGAACTGCAGCATTACAAAGAGAGGAAGATTTATTTGTAGCATTAGTGGGTTCCAGCAACACATATGGGTGGCATCAGAAGGTTACTCATTCTACAGATTTTTATAGAATGTAGAGTTTCCATAAAATATGAGAAAATAATAATAAAAATGATGATTTATAGTTTGTCTCTGAAATTCTGAGGCTGAGAGTGAATATTTGAGTTCCAAGACTCCACATGAGTTCATAGTTTTTCATGCTTTGACTTACTGAAAACCTTCTCATGCCAAGACACTGTCCTGCCATTCAACCTGGGATGAAAGAGCTGCCCTGGAGCTGCTGCTAGACCACCTTGGTGGGGCCTCTGCAAAGACAGGGGCAGCTCATACCTTCCTTTTATTAGGGCTGGGCACTGATTCTGCTGGCTATAGTTTCACTGATGAAGGAAGGATGCAATCACCAAACTTGTATTTTTAGGCAAATACAAACCTGGGGTTATTGCCATAGTCTGAAGCTTTCTGACGTGAAACTAATTTTAAAAATCAAGCATGAATTACTTATGGTATGTATTACTGAAGTACTGAGGATGCAATAAGTCCAGGAATAAATGTGGTAGTTTTAACGAAAGCCAAAATTATTTTACATAAAAGCTATATATTAAAATGAGCTAAACATATTGTGTACTGACTTTGATAGATGGAAAAGTTAATTTGACAATGAGTATGTTAAGCTTGTGATAAGAAATACTGCAGGTTGCTGTAAAATGCTTGTTACTTTGGGAGATATCTATAAAGACCTTGTTCTGAAAAAGGAAGTACTTGGACCTATATACAGATGGATTCACTGGCTTAACAGAAACCAGTTTTGTTTGTGTGAGAAATGGCTAAATGATTCTAATGGTGGTTTAATACAACAATCAGTAGTATGATAATAGCCATTTCTGGGGAAAATGCTGAAGTGCTGATCATGACAGCATGTTTATGATTTTAGCTTTTGCCTCTCAGAGTAGGTTTATGGTGCTGAGATAAGTCTCTTGTGAGTGGAGAAGACTTGGGTGCCCACATGAGGATGTTCATAATCTTACAGCATCTGTGAAACTCTCCTCAGGGGTTTTAGTGCCTGTAGGAGAGCAATAGCAGTGTCTGTGAAATTGGGCTCAGTGCCCAGACAACAGCTTGAAAATTGCAGTGTTCATCTCGAACCATGGGTTTGTTAGCCTGTAAGGACACTCATTCTCCCTCTTCACCTGCTTTCAGTAGTTACAATTTTTGGCTGCACAGTGGCTGGCTTCCAAAGAGTGGGAGGTGTTCTCACTAATATTACCCCAAAGTCAGGTAAATTGACTGCATTCAAGGGATGTGAGGGGCTGTGGATTAAAACCAGGAAGCTAACAGTTAGGCTTTCCGCTTTCTACAGAAGAGATGGTACTAGTGCGCTTGTCCTCAAATAAGAGTATCTACTTTGGCTAAGGGCAAAACTGCTCATACTGTTTCTGTGGTTTTCTTTGGAGACCTTTCCACTCCTGGAGGGAAAAAAACCTTTCTGTTCTCTCCTTATCTCCGTGTTTTCCTTTCTCCCTAATAACATTGCTAATAAAACTCTCACTATGTGATGTTGCTGCCCCTTTTTCATCCCACCCTTCTTGAAAGGACAGACATTCAGGCTGCATTGTCAAGGATGGTACAGACTAGATGAAACTCCAGATGGCACCAGCTTTATTCTCTCTTTGGTTTTTCTTAGCCCTCTTCAGTATTTTCTCTCCATGCTAATCTTCCCAATGTGACACTGAGCGCTGGTGACTATGTGGGTGACATTCAGCTTGAGACATAATGATGCAGCCAGCTGTAACTGTTGACCTTCAGCTTCATGTCCCTGTGTTGAACACATTTTTTTGCACAGCAGAGAGTAGCTTGTTTGCTTTTCATTTCATTAAGAAATGTCCCTGTGTGGAAAAGACCATTTCCCTGGTAAAAAAAAAAAAAAAAAAGTAATTTTTGCTTTAACAGGCAGCTGTTCTCATGCAGATAATCCAAAGCAGTGGATAGAGACAAAAAGAGATTTCTGAATTAATAAAGATCATCTGGAAAGGATGTTGCTCAGCTCACAGAAAGCACTTTATATTTGTGTTCTGGGTACACTGTGAGTAGGCTGACACTTGTGTGCCAATAAAATTTATAAACAAGGGAAAAATCCCATTTTATTTTGGCTTTTTCTCATGTTAACTTTTTCCTGAAGACATACACAATTTATAACACTGGCTGTTCAGTGGATATCCCCCCATTAAGCACTTTCTGCAGACAGTGGTACAGACTGAGGTATCAGGATGACAGTATTAAACTTCCCACATTTTTAGATACTGTTACTGGAGATGGTAATTTCCCCATTCTGAGGAAGATTTTTTTTTCTCTTGCTTAGTACATTTCATTAATGTTTCAGAAAATTTGCAAATATGCTCCAATTTGTTCAAAAAACAACCATAAGATATCCTGGAAGTATATGTAACTCATGTCCAGTGCTGACGTGTCTGGTGGTTTCATGAAGATGTTAATTGGAAACTAGGGAAATAGAATCTTTTGGGGAAAATAATAGGGTATTTTATTACATATTACTATGAAGACAACTCAATGAATGTTAGAGAATTCATGTTCTTGCAAGCATTCTTTGACAAGAATGTACATAGGCTCCTTTGTCATTAAAAAAGTAAGCCACTTTGGGCAATGGAAGAGTGAGAGAAAAATGAACTAAGGAGATACTAGTTACAAGTGGCATGAAGCCAGTTTGCCAAGGTTTATCATTAATAAATAAGTTGGGCTGGTGCCTCTGAGGAGGAGTGCATGAGGCAGGAGGCAAGGTTTGTGTGAAGTGACTGCTGCCTGGTCTCTTTCTGCTGCCGCTAGGCTCTTATTCACTAGTTTGCTCACTCTGACTCTTTTGGAAGGCAATACATTAGCTTTTGCTGGAACTCATCACAGCTCTTGTCACAAATTTTTTGGGTATTGAGCTCAAAGGCACAGTGTGCAAAGCTGTTCCTGGTCTAGACTCAGCCTACCAAGTGGGCGTACTGCGTCGGTGGCCTGGACAAAACATGAGCATGAGATTCGTGCCAAAACCTGTGTATGCATCCTTCACTCTATCCCAAATTTTTAAAGGAACTTTTTTTTTTTTAAAGAATTTTATTCTTTAGGTTTCAAACCCCATATATGTAATGTTCGGGTTTTTTTTAAACCAGAAACACTAATTAAACTGTGGAGAACTTGCAGTAGTGAAATACACTCTGTATGAACCTTCACTGGTTTAACTCTTAAATGGATGAAAAGGCTTTTTAAAAAGTCTTGTTAAAAAGCCTGAAGTGATCCTGCTAGTACATAGATAAGCCAGACATTCTTTTGTACTCTCAAACACTTTGATTTTGTCTTTAATTTTTCAAGTTTTCAGACTGATTTTGTCTCCAACCTACCCTCCCAGAAAATGTCCCAAAACATGGTTATGCAAGGAGATGCACTGGTCATCAGCCAAAGTGTGGCTGGTTTAATGGGTCATCTACAGCAGGTTTTTTTTTTTTTTTTCATGTGTACTTTCATGCCAATGAAAGTGTTTAGTGTAGAACAGTTGTAGTGGCATGAAGATAGAGTGCCTTTCCTAGTTAATCATCAAGCCCTGTGAAATGTAAAAAGGGTGCAAGGCAAGCACTTTGCTTTCTGTCCAAAGCTTTTTTCTTTCATCCATTAATCTTTTTTTTTTGTTTACTTTTCTTTTTTCATAGGAGACTGCTCTCCTACACCCTCTGTATTCACCTAAACTGATCCTTCCAACTAAGTCCCCTATGTGTCTTCTATCTGTCTCCCTTGCTGACTATCTGAACCCTGAACTTTTCAGCCACTTTTCTTTCGTCATGTGTGGTGTTCAAGAGAATCCTTATAGCCCTTACAGTCAGAACTCTTTGTACAATAAGGTGAGCGGCAAGT